CAGGTTTATATTTTATCAGAAATCTTGGTTAGGCAAGTCTAGCTTGGGGGCAGGCATCTGGCCTAGAGGGTTTACAGGAGTGCCTCGTCTGACTCTTTCGCCTACGCTGAGTTTTCTCACAGGGATTTCTCCTGCAGGAGCTGACTCAGTCATAGCTTTTCAAAATTTCCTGTGTTGTTCTGAGGGCGGGGGGGGGGGGAGGCTGGGCAGGGCTTGAAGCAGCCGTCGCCTCACACGGAACTAGAATGTGCTGAGAATGTGTGGCAGAAGCCCCTCAGAAAACATCTCCACGTTTAAAAGCTGGGAAAAGGGGAAAAGAGTTGTAAAAAGATGCCCAATCTTATTGAATCTCTTGCGCATCTCACCCTTAGCAACTTTAAGATGGGTGGACTTCAACTCCCAGAATCCCCCAGCCTCCATGTTTTAAGATAGGTGGACTTCAACTCCCAGAATTCCCCAGCCTCCATGTTTTAAGATGGGTGGACTTCAGCTCCCAGAATCCCCCAGCCTCCATGTTTTAAGATGGGTGGACTTCAGCTCCCAGAATCCCCAGCCTCCATGTTTTAAGATGGGTGGACTTCAACTCCCAGAATTCCCCAGCCTCCATGTTTTAAGATGGGTGGACTTCAACTCCCAGAATTCCCCAGCCTCCATCTTTTAAGATGAGTGGACTTCACCTCCCAGAATCCTCCAGCCTCCATCTTTTAAGATGAGTGGACTTCAGCTCCCAGAATTCCCCAGCCTCCATGTTTTAAGATAGGTGGACTTCAACTCCCAGAATTCCCCAGCCTCCATGTTTTAAGATAGGTGGACTTCAACTCCCAGAATTCCCTAGACAGTTATAACAATTGAAGTGTCCCATGGTCACATGATCCCCTTTTTTTGACCTTCTGGCAAGTAAAGTCAATGGGGAAGCCAGATTCGCTTAGTAACACGGGATTACAACCGTGCTACTTATTTAACAATGGCAGCGATTCACTTAACAACTGTGTCAAGAAAGGTCGTAAAAGGGAACAAAGCTCACTTTAACAACTGCCTCGCTTAGCAACAAAAATTTTGGGCTCAGCTGTGGTCATAAGTCAAGGACTACCCCCTAGGTAGGGTGGGCAGTGAAATTTAATGAATAAATAAATTAGTTAATTAATTTTAAAAATGTAATGTGAGAAATCAGGAGATTGAGAGAAATCGGGAGAAATCAGGAGATTGAGGCAGTTCAAATGAGTATACAGATTTATTGCAAACTTAGAAGAATCTGATCAACTAACAGTCAAGGGAAATGAGCGGGAGATAAGAAAGGAATTCAAAGTGGGTTGTACTTAGATCTCTTGCGGGCACGCAGGGACTCATGACTTATGACGTGTTTGACTCCTCCTTCAGGTTCACCCTAGTCATCTTCTACATCAGCGGTACCCAACCTTTCCAGCTTGGTGGCTCAGCCAGTGTGTGTACGTGTGTGAATGGCAGGCAAATGTGCGCAGGGTCAGCTCCCCTTGTGTAAGCAGCGTGCGCGCCCTCCACTCATCCTTCGTGTGTGAGCGGAAAGTGCTTGTGATCACACACGAAGCTCCACTCCAGAGCTAGTGCCTTCCACTCTGGAGCTTCCCACAGAAGTGCCCACTGGTCACGCGAGTGGAGCATCACAAATGCACACTTTCCCATTTCTCCCAGTTTTGAGCAGGCTGCAGTCCGGTAATGAACCATAGTCCGGGGGTTGGGTACTCCTGTTCTACATCCTCTTGGCTTAAGAAACAGAGAAGTGCTACCATTATCCAAAGTAAAATAAATTCTGAGCTAGATGGATGAAACATCCAGTGTTATTAAGGCAGGATGCAATGCTTCAGTATGTGATTTTTTTTCAACCAAGTGCTGTCCCCCCTATTGTGAAATATCCAGAAGGGTTTAAGAGCGATTGTTCCAAGCCTACTTTTGGTGTCATGGCCCCGTTGGAGTCTGAGTCTGCGGAGGAGGACGAGCCGGAACTGGGGCCGATGGACGTCGAGGGTGCGGCCTCATTGGCTCCGGAGGAACATGGGGCTGAGCAGGACAAGGCAGCCCCAGGTCCCTTGGGCCTGGGATGTATTGCCAGCAGGGAAGAAGGCGGCAGGATGACCGAGAGAGGGGAGAAAAGAGGGCAGGCAGTGGAGAGGAGGAGCGACAGAGCTCAGGCGACAAGCAAGAACCGCCCCCTCCTGATCCCCGAGCATGGAGAGTGGAGAGGAGGCGGAAGCAGTGCAGGCCAACTTCTTGCCTTGAAGTCGTCATGCCAACAGCGTTTTGCTGGACTACTTGCAGCCAGAGGCTGCTAGAGATGTGTGTGAGGCCATAAACGAGACTTGCCATAAACATGGGAGCGCTTGGGGAAAAGTTGGGGCAATAAAAGGGAGTTTGAACTATCAGCCTCCGTGCCTTGCCTCAAGTCATCACATGTGGTTTTGATCCAGCGACTTCCCACATCTCCCTTTTTCCCCTTTCTGAAAGTAGGATAGAGAGTAAATATCCCATCTGGGGAATGACAACAACTTGATGGCCTATCGAGTGAGCCAATGCAAAAAGCCAACTTTTCTTGGGAAATCCATAATCCTGGGGAAGACGGAAGGAAAGAAAATGACGAGAAACAAGGACTCTGTTACAAGAAGTCATGTGTTCACTATTAGAAGATCTGAAGGATCAGGTGGAGATCAGATCATCCTAGAGAAGGTCTATCCATGCGATCACAAGGCATTGCTAACTTCATAACACATACTTAATATTACAGACCTTTACGGAGTATGGTGACCCAGTGGTTAGAATGCAGTATTGCAGACTAACTCTGCCGACTGCCAGCAGTTCGATCCTGACTGGCTCAAGATTGACTCAGCCTTCCGTCTCTCCGAGGTCTCTAAAATGAGGACCCAGATTGTTGGAGGCAATTGGGGCCAGAACTTCCATTGTTAAGTGAAGTGATCGTTAAATGAATCATGCCCTATTTTATGACATTTTGCCACGGTTGTTAAGCAAATCACTGCAGTTAAATGAATCACGTGATCATTAAATGAATCAAGTTTCCCCCTTTGACTTTCCTTGTTGGAAGCCAGCTGCGAAGGTCATAGATGTTAAGCACATTATTCTGGCCATTTGCTGTGTCCCAAGATCATGTGATCCCCTTTTGCGACCTCCTGACAGGCAAGATCAGTAGGGAAGCCAGATTCGCTTCACAACCATGTTACTTAAGCTATCAACTGCAGTGATTCACTTAACGGCTGTGGCAAGAAAGGTTGTAAAACGGGGCAAAACTCGTTTAACCTAGGTCTCACTTGACAACAGAAATGTTGGGCTCAATTGTGGACGTAAGTCGAGGACGGGTATTGATATAATGGCAGCATGATTGAAACTTCTGTTTTCCATCTCTATTCTTGTTACTGTTTGATTTTCCAGGGTATAAGAAATCACAATTGGGTGGTTTTTTGTTGTTGTTGTTGTTTTTTCTAGGAGTAGTCCAGTTGCTATCCCAAATTTCTCAAAAAATAATAATAATATTTTTAAACAGTTCTGTACTGCATTAAAAAAATCAACACATTCATTCATCAACACACTCATTCATGCAAAACAGACACAAACACACTTATAACATCCCACGCTTTGTCTGTCAGGCGTCCTGGAAATTTGCTGAAAGTAAGCCTGGTGGAATCTTTTTCTAAAATATCATATATTCTTTTCCATGTGACTCTTTAGTTTGATGATGATTCTTCCCCCAATCATTGGGATAGGATGGGTGTTGAGCCAAGAATTTGATAGCTGATTGGCTTGGCATTTGCTGGGAAGAGGGTTTGTTTAAAAAAAAATTTAAACCCTACCGTTATTTTCTTTTTATAAATATCTCAAGACTCTAATGCTTCTTCCTCCTCCTATTTTCTTGACAACAGCCCTCTGAGGCAGGTGAGAAAGAATGACTGGCCCAAAGTCACCCAGCCAGTTTTCATGCCTAAGGCAGGACTAGAACTCACCGTCTCCTGGTGATTGGCCCAAAGTTGCCCAACCAACTTTCAGCCTAAGGTGAGGCTAGAACTCACCGTCTCCTGGTGATTGGCCCAAAGTTGCCCAACCAACTTTCAGCCTAAGGTGGGGCTAGAACTCACTGTCTCCTGGTGATTGGCCCAAAGTCCTCCAACTGGCTTTCATGCCTAAGGCGGGACTAGAACTCACCGTCTCCTGGTGATTGGCCCAAAAGTCACCCAACCAACTTTCAGCCTAGGTGGGGCTAGAACTCACTGTCCCCTAGTGATTGGCCCAAAGTCCTCCAACTGGCTTTCATGCCTAAGGCGGGACTAGAACTCATCGTCTCCTGGTGATTGGCCCAAAAGTCGCCCAACCAACTTTCAGCCTAAGGTGGGGCTAGAACTCACCGTCTCCTGGTGATTGGCCCAAAAGTCACCCAACCAACTTTCAGCCTAAGGTGGGGCTAGAACTCACCGTCTCCTGGCCCAAAGTCATCCAGCTGGCTTTCAGGTTTGGGATGTCATAAATATATCCCAGTTGCCAAGTGCCCAAATTTTGATTAGGTGATCTTGGAGATATTATGACAGTCATAAGTATGAGGATTGGTTCTAAATTCTTCTTTTATTGCCACTGTAACTTTGAACAGTTGCTAAACAAGTTTTTGTAAGCTGTCTCTGGTGGAACAAGAATTCTCTGGGAATGCTGGAGCAGGATGCTTTTTTTTTTTTTAATGCTAAATCCAAATTTTGACTAGCATCTCAAAGTAGGAGTTGCTTTAAAGTCCAGTTGGGCTCCTGATTCATCCGTATCATTTTCTGACTGCGTTATAAAGTGATCCCTAATGGTTTGTTCCAGGATGTTTTTCAACATCTCACTCTTAATTCCCGGATTCCAAAAAATGACTTCCCATCCAAGACCTGACCCAGACTGACCCTGCTTAGCTTCAGAGATCATCCAAAGTCATGTAGCTGGTGCCACCTAGGCAAGATATGCCCTCCAATTAACTTCTTTTCTTTTTTTGGCAGGACAGATATTACTACTGAAGACCTTAACAGGGCAAGTGCACTAAATCAAGAGCAGGACACAGACCTAATGACGATACAATCATGGGTGAGTCTTTTACCTTTTTTTTTTTTACTTTTTTTGGGCTGATCCTATATCAAAGGTCGTGTTTCAATTCTTATGGAATTGATGAAGTGTAAGTATGTACAAGAAAAGCAATTTAACAAAGAGTAATAATGAAGTTGTGTGTCTTTGATACAATGGTTCTTCTCATCTAGCCTAGAATTGTGTTAGTCCTCCTATCAGATGTCTCCCACTTCTGACTGATGTTCAGCTTGTTGAGTGGTGAAATGTAAAATTAATAGAATAGAATAGAATAGAATAGAATAGAATAGAATAGAATAGAATAGAATAGAATAGAATAGAATAGAATAGAATAACAGAGTTGGAAGGGACCTTGGAGGTCTTCTAGTCCAACCCCCTGTCCAGGCAGGAAACCCTACACCAGACAAATGATTATCCAACCTCTTCTTAAACACTTCCAGTGTTGGAGCATTTACAACTTGTTGGAGGCAAGTTGTTCCATTGATTAATTGTTCTCACTGTCAGGAAATTTCTCCTTAGTTCTAGGTTGCTTCTCTCCTTGATTAGTTTCCACCCATTGCTTCTTGTCCTGCCCTCAGGTGCTTTGGAGAACAGCTTGACTCCCTCTTCTTTGTTTTGTTTAATGGAAAAAGAGTTGGGATGGGGGAAAATTTGGAACTTTGATTACTTTGCACACTTTACACACAAAAATGGAAGGACACTTTGATTCCCACAATGGATAAATGGTAGCAAAAGTTGATGGAGTTAGCAGAGATGGTTAAAATTGACTGCTTTGATGAAAGAGAAAAGCACACAATTACTTTTGTTTCTGCTTGGAAACCACTTCTGCACTTTGTGCTTGAGGTGGGGAAAAAAATGAAACTTTGATTTTGGGTTTTACCAATTCATGGACTTATTGTTATAGAAATGGCTAGTTTATATTATTATGAAAAAGTAAAAAGTGGAGGATACTATTTATCTATTGCACCAAAGGGAGTCGGAAGTCAATGCCTTTTCTTGCTATTTTCCCAATGCCAAACATTTTTCCCTTCCCTTTTTCCTTCCTTATCTTTCCTACAATGCTTTTTTTCATATTTTTGTATTTTATATTGTGAACTAATTAAACAAAATGGGAAAAAATGTACCAGACGCTTGGCAACTGACTCCTACTTATGACAGTTGTAGTTTCCCGAGGTCATGTGGTCTCCTTTTGCGACCCTCTGACAAGCAAACTCAATGGGGGAAGCTGGATTCGCTTAAGAACCATGTGACTAACTTAACAACTGCAGTGATTCACTTAACAACGCTTGCAAGACAGGTCGTAAAATGGGGCAAAACTCATTCAACAAATGTTTCCCTTAGCAACATAAAATTTGGGCTCAACTATGGTCATAAGTGGAGGACTATCCTAATTAGACTTTCAGCCTAATCTTCCATTAATAGTCTATTTCAATTTTCCGAGGTTGGTCACAGCTCTTGTCTTGTTGATAGGCAACCCATCAGACGGTTTCAACGTTTTGAGAAGTATAGGTAGTCCTCGACTTACAACAGTTCATTTAGTGACCATTCAATAGCACTGAAAAAAGCGACATGATCATTTTTCATACATTAGGACAGGGGTGGGCAAATATGGCCCTCTTACATCCTGTGGATTTCAACTCCCAGAATTCCTGAGACAGCTAAGCTGTCTCAGGAATTCTGGGAGTTGAAGTCCACAGGATGTAAGAGGGCCACATTTGCCCACCCCTGTGTTAGGACCATTGCAGCAACTTAACAACTGCATTGATTCACTTAACAAATATATCAAAATGTCGTAAAATTGGGCAAAACACACTTAACAAATTTCTCACTTAACAACTTAAGTTTCGGGCTCAATTCTGGTCGTATAGGACTACCTGTAGACTTTTTAAGAAAATACCTCTCATGGAGGTAGAATTGTTTTTTCGGCAACTTGCATAAAATCGGGACAAGACGAACCTTGTGGTCCTTCCCAATTTTTCAGTTGTATGATAGATAGATGGAGGGAGGGAGGGAAGGAAGGACGGAAGGAAGGAAGGAAGGAAGGAAGGAAGGAAGGAAGGAAGGAAGGAAGGAAAGAAAGAGAAAGGGAAAGAAAGAAAGAAAGAAAGAAAGAAAGAAAGAAAGAAAGAAAGAAAGAAAGAAAGAAAGAAAGAATTCTTTATTGGCCAAGTGTGATTGGACAGACAAGGAATTTGTCTTTGGTTCATTCATTGAATGGAAGGCAATTGCAGTGGGCTGTGTTTGCTTACGGCCTCATAGGAAGTACAGATAATCCTCGACTTACAAAAATTCATTTAGTGACCATTCAAAGTTACAACGACACTGAAAAACGTGAATTATGATCCCTTTTCACACTTACGACTATTACCACAGCCATTCCCTTGGCTACGTGATCAAAATTCAGATGCTTGGTCCATGGACACTGCAACCGTCATAAATATATGAGTCAGTTGCCAAGCATCTGAATTTTCATCATGTAACTAAGAGGGTACTGCAATGGTCGTAAGTGTGAAAATGGTCAGAACTTACTTTTTCAGTGCTGTTGTAATTTCAAATTAAACGAATGGTTGTAAGTTGAGGACTTTCTGTATATGAAGAAAGTGGGAGTTTTATCTTCTGACTCAGATCTGCTTGAAGGAAACCCCTAAAGTTTGCCTAATTCACTGACCATCATAATGCTTTGTTGGCTTTTTTGACAAGAACCTGGTTGGCATCTCAACTTTTTTAATTAAGTTGTTAGCTGTGTACTTCTATGAGCCTTGGTGGCGCAGCAGACTAAAGTGCTGTTAAGTAACACCAGCTGCCTGCAATTATTGCAAGTTCAAATCTCACCAGGCTCAAGGTTGACTCAGCCTTCCATCCTTCCGAGGTAGGTAAAATGAGGACCTGGATTGTGGGGGCAATAAGCTGACTTTGTATAAAAAAGAACACCGCTGGGGGAGGGGGCGAAAGCCCTACTAAGCAGGTATATACAAAAGTATGAAGGCTGTTGCTTAACGCATTGTAAGCCGCCCTGAGTTTCCGAATAAGGGCGGCATATAAATCGAACCAATAAATAAATAAATAAAAATAAATAAATACATACATACATACATACATACATACTTTCACACAACCATTCCCCCACAAATGAAGGTCTATGAACTCTTGAACACTCTTGAGTCCATCTCTTGAACTCTTCCCTTTTCTGATCTGGTAATTTCTAGTTTCACTAATCCAACTAACCACAATTGTCATCAAGTGTTACATACTCTTAATGCCTTTGTAGAAATTAAACTGTGTGGCTGCATCTGGAACAGGGGGTGTTCCAAGGTCCTTTCCTGCTCTATGATTCTATATATAGGATTAATAAATATGTAAATTGCCAAATAGACAAAATTAACAGATTAACAGGGTTGGAAGGGACCTTGTAGGTCATCTAGTCCAACCCCCTGCCCAAGCAGGAGACCCTACACCAAGGATGGCTAACCTTTTTTTCCTCGGGTGCCAAAACTGTGCGCGTGTGTGCGACAGTGCACGAGCATGTGCCCACACCCATAATGCAATGCCTCCCATGTGCCCTGCCCCCTGCGCATGCATGCGAAACCCCCCCTCCGTGTTTCCCTGTCCCCGTATGCATGCGCGTGTGACCTCTCACCCCCCACCCTCCCCTCACCCCCTCCACAAATGTGCGCGCCCTCCGCACCCCTCCGGCCCATTTTTGGTCCCAGGAGGCTTCAGGGAGGCCTGCTAGGCCCAAAATGGGGCATGGGGGGTGTGCCACATCCCCTCGCCCCCCCGTGGATGCGCACACGACCTCCCTGACCCCCCGCACATGTGTACACGACCCCCCTGCCCAGTCCTCCCCGCACATGGATGCGCATCTCCGCAGACCATTCAGCTGGCCGGCAGGAGGCATGTGCGTATGCACGGTGGAGCTGACGCCATCACAGCCCTACACCATTTCTGACAGATGGCGGTCTAGTCTCTTCATGGAAGCCTCCAGTGATGAAGCTCCCACAACTTCTCGAGTCAAACTGTTCATTGTCATCCAGTTAATTCCTTTCACTGTATTTCTCTTTCGCATTAAAAGTTAACCCAGGCGTAGAAGTTTTTACAGTTTTCATTTTTTTTAACTTGAACCAAAATAAATGTTTTGCCTAACCAGGCAATTGTGTTTCTGACTTTTCTTCTGTTTTTCAAAGCCTCTTATTTCCTCTTTTTAAAAACAACCCCCTCCACCTGAATATTTAAATTCAGAGATATTTGTGTGAGAAGCAACTGAATTCTTAAGAACAGTATAAAAAGGGAAGCTGAAGGATTAAAATAAGCAGTGGGAAAATTCTACTTAGAAATTAGGGATGACACAGAGGAAAATATGTATTTACCGGTATTTATGTGTTGTAATTGTCGCTTTCTAGGAAAACTGCCCACACAGACCTAGTGATTTTTAGAATAAGAGCTGATTCAGAAGCGTATTTCCTTCCAAAAAGCAATCCATTCAATTAATATATTTTGTTTCAATTGATCAATTGCAATATTCTGAAATTTGCATATTTATTGTTTGACTCTTTGTAAGATTGTTTTACAGGAAGTTCTCAACTTGCGACTAACAATTGAGCTCAAAATTTTAATTGCTAAGCAAGGGAGTTGTTAAATGAGTTTTGCCCAATTTTACAGCCTTTTTGGCACAGTTGTTAAATGAATCACAAGTTGTTAAGTGAATCATGTGGTCATTAAACGAATCTGGCTTCTCTCTTTGATTTTGCTGGTCAAAGGCTGGCCAAATGAAAATCACATGACTGTAGGACAGTATAACTGTCATAAATACATACCACTTGCCAAGCATCCGAATTTGATCATGTGACCACATGGATGCTATAATGTGAGAACTGGCCGTAAGTCATTTTTTTCAGTGTCGTCGTAATTTCAAACAGCCACTAAATAAAAGAATGCAAGTCCAGAACTACCTATATTATACTTCTATTCCAGAGGAAACAATAGATTTAAATGCCATAACTATT